CAGCTTGTCTTTGTATCTTAGCCATGGTCGTCCTACATTCCTGTAGCCCTGATCTAACTGGCTGTACCTTAGGATCTTGGGTATCCTGTTATCAGACATTCTCAAGACATGACCAGTCCAGCGTAACTGAGACTGTATCATAAAAGTCTCGATTCCTCCAATATTACACCTGTTAAACAGGTCTACGTTAGATGTCCTATCTTGAAGCTTAACTCCACAGATTGCACGCAGACAGCTTTTATGGAAAACATCCAGCTGGCGTATATGGTACCTGTATGGAGTCCACGACTCTGAGCCATACTAAAGGATGTCAAGTACAACAGCTCTGTAAACCCGAATTTTCGTATCCAGTCGAATAACCCACTCATTCCACAAGCGATGGCGAAGTTTGCCGAAAGCACTGGTAGCCTTAGCAATCCGATGCATGATTTCACCATCTAAAGTTCCACTGTAATTGACTTTTGCTACCAAGATGAAAGGTGAAAGACTTTACATAATTCAGGGCTTTGTCTTCTACTTTCAATAGTCTCTCTGGAAATTTGTAGACTGGTGGTTTTTGTTTCTCAGCACGCAATTGCTTTGGAGTAGGACAAGGTTGGTGCACAACTTCAGTTTTCTTTATGCTAAGTGTAAGACCAAATGCTTTACATGCAGCAGAGAAATGATTTATTAGATGTTGGGCTTTCTCAGAAGATGTCGCTACAAGAGCAGCATCATCAGCAAACAACAAATCACGAATAATTTGCGTACGAAGGTGAGTCTTGGCTTTGAAACGCTGATGATTGAAGAGACCACCAGTTGTTCGAAACTGAAACTTGACGCCCCTCTTTGTGTCTGCAAATGCATATTTCAGCATCACCGAGAAGAAAGGGGCAAAAAGGACAGGGGCCATGACACAACATTGCTTGGTGCCATTTGTGACATCAAAGGATTCTAACATCATAACATCAGACACGATATTAGCTTTCATTCCTTCATGAAAGGAGATGATGACCTTTAGCATGTTTTCAGGGATGCCGAGTTTCCTCAAGACTTGCTAAAGAGCCTCTCGATTCACAGTGTCAAAGGCCTTCGTCAAGTCCACAAACACCATGTACAACTCCTGGTTTTTCTCACGAACCTTCTCTGCAACTTGACGAAGAGAAAATATCATGTCATTGGTGCCACGACCCGACCGAAAATCACACTGCGATTCAGGGATGATGTCATCAACAAGGTGTGTAATGATTCTGTTTAGAATCAGTCTAGCTAGGATTTTGCCTGCAACTGAAAGTAGTGATATCCCCTGATGATTATCTAAGACACACCTGGAACCCTTGTTTTTATAGAGGTGTTTGATAGAGGCGTCTTTATAATTCTGTGGGACACAGCCTGCCTTCCATATCTCCACGAAAAGGAGGTGTAACTTTTTACCAACTTTTGGCCACCATGCTTATACACTTCAGGTGGAATAGGATCCTTAGGAGTAGGTGATTTTCCAGATGAAATTTGCTTGATGGAGTCAATTACCTCTTGATAAGTAGGTTCAAAAGACAACTGCGGAATTTCAGGATTTTGCTCAATTGATGCGATGGCTTCCTCATCAGTAACCGAAGTGGTGTTTAACACAGTTTCGAAATGCTCTTTCCAGCGATCTAAAATGTCTGACTTATCCGTCAAGAGAGTTTCACCATCTGCTGTGGAGATAGGAACAACACTACTTTTCTGAGGACCGAAAATGCTCTTGAGGCCAGCATAGAAAGCCTTTAGATTCTTTCTATCTGAAGCTTCTTGGAGTTCAGTGGCCTTTTCAGACCACCAACGCTCTTTCATGGCTCTGAGAGCTCGTTGAACCTGACTTTTGCACTTATTGTAAGCGATCTCCTTACTGGACGAGTTCTTGTCCTCAATCCATGCTTTATGAGAAGAGTTCAATTGATCCATAAGCTGCGGAACCTATGTATTATTGTCATCAAACCAGTCTTAATGTTTATGATGTGGCAGGTCGAGAACCTCCAAGGATGTAGAATATGTTGCATCACGCAGAGCCTTCCAAGATGATTCGATATCATTCGTAATATTTACAGAATCAAGTGCAGCATCAAGTTTGTCAGAGAGTTCAATTTTCGTTTCAGTCAATTTAAGAAGCAGTACGTTAGTGCGCCTGGGCACCATAGATTTTATAATCCTTCGCTTTTGCAGATGCAGTGTAGCTTTACTTCAAAGTAGAGCGTGATCTGACAGATAGCATGTTGTGTGGAATGAACGCGTTATCTTAAAATCTTTTATGTCCCGTCTTTTGGTGATGACGTAGTCGATCAGATGCCAGTCTTTCGAATGAGGATGCATCCACGTGGTCTTACGACAGCTGGGTTGCTGGTAGAAGGTATTAGTGATACTAAGGTCAAATTCCTTGCAGATAGTGAGAAGTCGTAATCCATTAGAATTCATATGACCAATACCATGTCGACCTAAAACGCCCTTCCAAGAATGATAATCATTGCCAACACGAGCATTGAAATCACCTGTAAGGACTAATTTATCCTTATGTTGGACTTTGGAGATGATATCCCGAAGAAGATTGTAAAAATCATCTTTTTCTTCATCTGAACTACCTAAAGTTGGCGCGTATCAGCTAACCATCGTCACACGGGTGTTGCACTCCAGATTGAGGGTTAATTCCATTATATGATCAGATAAACATTTAGGTAAGGAAGGCAGTGAGCTAGCAAGGTCTGGCTTGATGGCAAAGCCAACACTAGACTGGCGTGGCTCTTTCTCAGTCTTGCCAGCCCATAAAAATACGTATCCGCCTTTTTCTTCCCTAAGCTGAGAATTACCAGCCAGACGTGTTTCACTAATGGCCGCTATATCGATGTTATATTTCTTTAACTCGAGAGAAACAAGAGCTGTTTTACGCTCTGGTGCAGAATCATTGTTCTTGTCGCGGTCGCCGATTATCCGCTCCTTACAAAGCCGACCTTGACCTTCACAACTCTCGATCTCGCAGATCTAGGTCAAGCAACAGGCCAGAAACCGGACGGCTAGTCCAATATCGTTGATGTCAAACCATACCTAGTACGCATCTGACTATGCTGAGCCATTCTAAACATCGGCAACCATAGACTATAATTTATTATCTACGGCCTTCTACTCCTCTAGCCAGGGGAGTACTTGAACAAATCTTTGCAAATATCCTTAGACACTTTTTTTTTCGCCCAAACTAGGCAGCTTGGCCCGGAGGCCTGGATCAAAGTGTAGTACACTACCTTTGTGAACTTCCGGTGCTTTTGTCGAGGTGTTACTCTTCGGCGCGATCCCGTCTCCACGGTCGATCCGCCCCTGGAAGGTGTAACACCTCTCTGACCTACCTCGCCTGGTGATACCTCTGGCGCGATCCCGTTTCCGCGGTTGATCCGCCCTGTGGAGTTGTATTACTGGTCTGCCTTGGCCCTGTTTAGGGACTCCGTCTTCGCCTGGTGATATGCTTTGGCGCGATCCCGTTCCCGCGGTCGATCCGCCCGTGAAGTAGCATCACTGGTCTGCCTTGGCCCTGTTTAGGGACTCCGTCTTCGCCTGGTGATACACTTTGGCGCGATCCCGTTCCCGCGGTCGATCCGCCCCGTGAAGTAGCATCACTAGTCTGCCTTGGCCCTGTTTAGGGACTCCGTCTTCGCATTTCGGCCGAACCAACTACGTTCGCCGACCAATCCTAAACTACCGGGCCAGACCAGCTACGTTCGCCTACCAAACCTAAACTACCAGGCCAGACCAACTACATTCGACCGGACCAGCTACATTCTACCGGACCAGCTACGTTCGCCTACCAAACCTAAACTACCAGGCCAGACCAACTACATTCGACCGGACCAGCTACATTCTACCAGAACCAACTACGTTCGCCTACCAAACCCTAAACTACCGGGCCAGACCAACTACCGGACCAGACCAGCCTACAATCGACCGAACCAGCTACGTTCGTCGATTAACCAGTTTTCGGACCACACCGATGTAAATGTGTGAATAAAAAACGACACCTTTGTTCATAACAAAAACCTTTGCCTTTGTCCCGTCATTTCTTGGCTGTTCACATTTATCGTATACTTAAAAAACCTTGCGGGGGACATCTCCTCGGCCCCCGCAACAAGTGGTGACTTCCCGACGTGAGACAGCTAAGCGATGATGGAGTCGGCTAAAAAGTGATTCTTTGGACATGACGGCTGCGATCATACCTCTCTGCCTGCATACCACCATAATGCCAAGAACTGGTTCTTGCAGGTGGAATCCATCTTTCAATGCTACGCATTACTTCACAGCGAGCCAGATTCGCGAATGTAATGCAGAAACTCCCATCTGATATGATGGACGAAATTTCTGATGTCCTCTCCGATTTGCGCGAGCATGAACCGTACGATCACTTAAAGGAAGCAATCCTCAAACGAACCGGACGTTCCGAGGAAGATATGATCCAAGAGATACTGCGGAACGTCACTAGAGGCGACAAAACGCCATCCCAGCTTCTCAGATATATGAGGAACCAGCTGGGAAAGCACAACGTATCAGAAAAGGTTCTTCGAGGTTTATGGCTGGAGCATTTGCCTAAATCTGTTGCACAAATCATCGCACCAATGACGAGAGCCACGCCTCTGAATGATTTGGCAGAATCTGCTGATCTTGTTTTTGCACAGTTCGACCACAGCGTTAACGCTGTTCGCGCCCCGACATAGCGAAGCACGAACGCTACGAGCCTAGTAAAAACCTGCGGAACGGGCGTTGGCCGACCTTCAACGGCAAATTCGGGAGCTCCAGATCTCCCTGCGCCCGCGGACGAGGACATCGACCCCATCTCGACGGAGACGAACCCCCAGCCGAGAACGGCGAAGCGACCAGGGTGTTTGTTGGTTTCATCGCACATTCGGCGATGAGGCCAGGAATTGTAAACCTCCTGTACACACCGTCGGCCCGGGGAAACGAATAAACCGGAGAGTCGCGACGACTAACTCTTCCGGTGCCAACACGCAATGTCGTCTATTTTACGTTTGGGATCGACGGAACAAGTTGAAATTCCTGGTGGACACAGGTGCGGCCATCAGCGTGGTACCCTTCAGAACGACCACACCGCTAAGCCCACCCTGATCAAACTACGAGCAGCGAATGGTTCCGCGATAGACACGTACGAGAAAAGGACCCTTACTTTGAATATCAGCATGCGACGCGATTTCACTTGGACATTTACCGTGGCCAACGTGAAGGTACCCATCCTCGGCGCGGATTTCCTGGCGCATTACGCACTGGCGGTCCATATGAACCCTAGGACTCTGTCCGATACGACGACGAATCTCCGTGTCTTAGGTACCCCCTACACGTCAAGGCTCCACAGGAATCAGCGTCGCAACATGCCATGGTCGCGAGTACTTAGATCTCCTGACGCAGTTCACGGATATAACGCTGCCACTCCAAGTAACGGCTTCAGGTGACCATCAGACTCAGCACCACATCAGAACCCGAGGTCCTCCCACACACTCCCATCCGCGACGACTCGCTCCGCACAAACTGGCGTACGCCAAGGAGCAATTCGACAAAATGCTCAGTGATGGCATCATTCGTCCTTCCGATAGCCCTTATGCCTCGCCACTACCAGTGCCTAAACCTGGTGGTGAAGAATTTCGGATATGCGTCGACTACCGGAAATTGAATGCATCGACCGTACCAGACCGATATCCCGTCCCTCATATCCATGATTTTGCATCCGGATTGATGGGGCTCGCATCTTCTCGAAAATCGACCTGACAAAGGCATACCACCAGATCCCCGTCGCTGCGGAAGACGTCCCAAAAACGGCAGTCACAACACCGTTTGGCCTATACGAATTTCTAAAAATGCCGTTCGGTCTACGTAACGCTGCCCAGACCTTCCAACGACTCATAGACGAAGTCCTGCGCGGACTTCCGCATGTATACGCCTATATCGACGACATCTTGGTGGCCAGTACAGACGCCGATTCTCACAGACAACACCTGCGAAGTCTTCCAGCGACTCTCGCACTACGGCCTGAAGTTGAACCTGGACAAGTGCGTTTTTCGGGGCGCCCAGCGTTGACTTTCTCGGGCACCACACCGACGCAGACGGCATAGCACCTCTGCCAGACAAGATCAGCTCGATCCGGGACTTTCCTACACCGACGTCCATGAAACAATTGCGACGTTTCCTCGGCATGCTCAATTTTATCGTCGGTTCATACCAAATTGCGCTACCATCCTCCAGCCACTGACGAACCTGCTGCAGAGAAGAAACAAGGACATCTCTTTGGAGGAGATGCTCTGCACGCATTCCATACAGCGAAGGCTGCATTGGCGAATTATACCAGGCTTTCGCATATCAACGACGATCCAGAGACACGACTATTCCTGACAACCGACGCATCCGACGCTGGTGGGGCGCGGTGGTTGAGCAAGAGTTCAACTCACAACGCGAACCCATCGCATTCTTTTCCAAGCTTTCGCCAGCCCAGAGAAAATATAGCACCTTCTCCCGAGAGCTGCTGGCCATTTATCTGGCCGTCAGGCATTTCAGGCACTTACTGGAAGGTCGAGATTTTACCATCTATACCGACCATAAACCGTTGACAACCGCGATGAGTAACAACTCTGACAAGTATACAGCTCGCGAGATCCGGCATCTCGACTACCTGTCACAGTTCTCGACCGATATTCGTCACATAAAGGGGAAGGACAACGCCGTCGCAGACACATTATCGCGAGCGGAAATTCAATCTCTTCAGACCGGCGTCTTTGGTCAAGATTCCATAGCCGCTGAACAAAAATCCGACCCCACGCTGCAAGACGTCCTTTCGAATACTTCTTTAAAGCTTCAGGAGTTCCCTGCATCCTTCAGCGACGACACCCTGTACTGTGACACCAGCCTAGCAAGCCCTAGGCCCTACATCCCACCGACACTTCGGAGACAGGTATTCAAATTTCCACGGGCTGTCTCATCCAAGTAAGCGAGCTACGGTCAAACTTATTACCGACCGATTCGTTTGGCCCAATATGAATGCGGACATTCGAGAATGGGTTTCCACGTGCATGGAGTGCCAGAAGTGTAAGGTCCACCGACACACTAAATCCCCGTCGGCACCTTCAGCAGTCCTGATGCACGGTTCTCACACATACATGTCGACTTAGTGGGACCGCTTCCGATGTCAGGGATTACCAGTATCTTTTGACGGTTGTGGATCGTTTTTCGCGGTGGCCGACCGCCATACCTATAAAAGACACTTCTAATAACACAGTCCTAGGACCATCCTGAAAGAGTGGATTGGAACTTTCGGCACGCCCCACGTTATCACGACCGACAGGGGGTCACAGTTCCAGTCGTCCCTTTTCGGGAGTTTACCAACCTACTTGGCGCCAAGCACATAAAGACTACCGCTTATCATCCGTGCGCCAACGGCTTAGTTGAGAGGTTTCATCGGTCCCTTAAAACCTCCTGGCCACTAGACCTGACACTATCAATTGGGTGGACGACCTACCTTTAATTCTCCCAGCATTGAGGAACACCGTAAAGGAGGATTTAGGTTGTTCACCCGCCGAACTGGTTTTCGGTACACCTCTTGCGCTACCCGGCGAATACTTCGACGACTCCCTTCAGACGTTTTCAAAACCAACATCTCCTTTCGTCGAGGAACTCCGCCACAAAATGGCCCGGCTTAAATATGCAACTCCACGACAGCAACCGGTGAATTCGTACATCCCTCAACACTTGCGAGATTGCAAATTCGTTTTCGTACGGAACGACGCCGTGAGACGACCCCTCACGCCGGCATACCAAGGTCCTTTTCAGGTTCTTCGACGCACCGACAAGCACCTTACGATCAAGCGCGCCAATTCGACCGACACCATCGCAATCGATCGGACCAAGCCTGCTTTTCTGGAGAAGACAGTATGACGCAAACCCGGCTCTGCGGCCCCCCAATGCTATTCCAGCGCACCCATCAGACGCAGCACCGCAGACATCAAACGACACCCCAGCGACTCCTGTGCGGCAGACCCGATCCGGTAGGAGGGTCACTTTCCCAAAGACCTTCGTAAATATTATTATTATTAATTGATACGATCAATTTTCTAGGGAAGGGCCTTGTCGCGGTCGCCGATTATCCGCTCCTTACAAAGCCGACCTTGACCTTCACAACTCTCGATCTCGCAGATCTAGGTCAAGCAACAGGCCAGAAACCGGACGGCTAGTCCAATATCGTTGATGTCAAACCATACCTAGTACGCATCTGACTATGCTGAGCCATTCTAAACATCGGCAACCATAGACTATAATTTATTTATCTACGGCCTTCTACCCCTCTAGCCAGGGAGTACTTGAACAAATCTTTGCAAATATCCTTGAACACTTTTTTCGCCCAAACTAGGCAGCTCGGCCCGGAGGCCTGGATCAAAGTGTAGTACACTACCTTTGTGAACTTCCGGTGCTTTGTCTTCGCCTGGTGATATACTTTTGGCGCGATCCTGTTCCGCGGTCGATCCGCCCCGTGAAGTAGCATCACTGGTCTGCCTTGGCCCTGTTTAGGGACTCCGTCTTCGCCTGGTGATACACTTTGGCGATCCCGTTCCGCGGTCGATCCGCCCGTGAAGTAGCATCACTAGTCTGCCTTTGGCCCTGTTTAGGGACTCCGTCTTCGCATTTCGGCCGAACCAACTTTCGCCGACCAATCCTAAACTACCGGGCCAGACCAGCTACGTTCGCCTACCAAACCTAAACTACCAGGCCAGACCAACTACATTCGACCGGACCAGCTACATTCTACCGGACCAGCTACGTTCGCCTGCAAACCTAAACTACCAGGCCAGACCAACTACATTCGACCGGACCAGCTACATTCTACCCCAACTACGTTCGCCTACCAAACCTAAACTACCGGGCCAGACCAACTACCGGACCAGACCAGCTACAATCGACCGAACCAGCTACGTTCGTCGATTAACCAGTTTTCGGACCACACCGATGTAAATGTGTGAATAAAAACGACACCTTTGTTCATAACAAAAACCTTTGCCTTTGTCCCGTCATTGTCTTGGCTGTTCACATTTATCGTATACTTAAAAACCTTGCGGGGGCGACATCCTACTCGGCCCCGCAACATTCTGAAGAGTGTGAACATTCCAGGATCCAAAATAGAAATTCTTCTTATATTTATTCTGATATTCCTTGCTGTTTCGACTGCTTTATTGGATAACTAGACAGCTGCAGCGGGCTGCCAAGTCACCGTGTGAGCAAGCAATGTTTAGGGCTCCTTTTATCGCCCCCTCCCCATAATAGGGAAAGCAGTGCAATCCTAAATAGGGGATGCTTTGTCACCGATGGAGGACACGGACATCACAATTGCTCATGGGTTTGTGAAAGAACGGCCATCACCCATCGGTCTGCCACTGTGTAGAGCTCTAGCTAGAGCCTTCCAGTAATATCCTTTACCTGACCCCGCCGCCTTGACTCTCTCGCCTTGCAAGCGAACTGTGTGGATAAGAACGAATCAAAGTAAACCGCCAGAAAACCCACACAACTGATTTGATTAAAGTGGTGAAGGCTTGTGCAGAACCATCCACACTTTTCGGAACTATTGATACTGTGACGTCCCTCTCTACAGCCTTCGCTCGCTCCTCGCTGCTTCGTTCGGGTGTCGCCGCTCCAAACTTGACGTCCGCCTGTCTGCATCAGTCATGTTGTCCCGTCCTGTGACGACCAACTGGCTTGGTATCGGCCGCAGCACCCAAATGTGACGTTCTAACCTTTTGGTGATTCGGATGGGAATCTGGTCAGATCCGATATCAGCCTCGTCGTTCCCAACTCGCTTCTAACGTCTGGTTACCAAAGTAACTGCGTTGATCTCCAGTCCGCCTACCCACGTTGTGAATTGATCTTAGGCAGACGAAATCAATCAGTCGTTGGGGACGTAATGCAAGTTGAGTTCAAACGAGGTGGTATCACACAAATATGTATAAAAAGAAAATAAAATGATAACTCAAAAGTTCAAGGTATCAAAAAAAAGGATAACAATACTTTATATCTGGTTGCTGGATACATAGGACTGCGTCTATCTCCCGACCCGCTATATGGATTGTGTGACACGTTGTTTTTTGTTAGGTGAGTTTTAACATCTTAAGTTGTCTGTTCTTTAAGAAATTGGTTCTTGGTGTGTCTTCAGGCGGTAGTCGAAAAAACTTATTTTGGTGGTATGGATCTAAGTCGCTCTTCAAAATAAATTGTTCTTGGATTGAAGATGAGTTCGGAAGTTGCGCGAATCTTTTCGTTTATGCGAGGCCTGCTTCAACTGAGCACTGAAGACTGAACTCTGGAAAACCGGAGTCCGAACTTAACTGATTTCTGCTCGTTGCGACTTTGTTTATATGGACGCCGACCCAAAACCGGGGTGGGCTTTGTCGGGGTTGGAGGTTCCTCAAAATACTAAATCCATATCCACTTCTTTTATTTTTGGTCAGGAATTTTCCAAATTTTGGAAGTCTTCTCTTGATCCCACCTTCTCTTATTCTCATATGGATATCTCACCATACTTCAGAGGGGCGTTCTCCCCACTTCTTCGTAGCAACTTCTCATACCTATCCTCTAAATGGGCGGCAGAGGCTCCCCCCTTGCGTCATGTGATCACCTCCGCCTGACCCTAGTTGACATTCGCCAATGGCGTCCAACCGGGTGGGTGTGATCCGGCTAGCTTTGTTTTAAGAATAAAATATATCTTGCTCAAAAAAAATTATCTTTTTCTTTTCCTTTTCTTTCCTTAACCGCAGCTCTCATCCCCAATGTCACCTGGGATCTATCAATGCCATTTATCAAGTGGGTAGTCGTCTAGCGAAACACAGCCGATTCCCGTCTCGAAAAACAGTTTCATTGTCCTAGCCGTATTTGCATTCTTGGTGCCAATTTCTGATAACATAGTTTTATTATCATAACCGAATTCTAATACCCATAGATGTCTTGTCAAAACGGCAAAGACTTAACCCAGGGTTGGGTTTCGTGTTCTGTTAACAGATGGCCTATTAAATCCTTTCCCGACAATATTGTTTTCCCCCTCTGACACAGTTAATTTTTCTTATCTATCCAAAGCTCTGTATTCACGTGGTCCTTGTCAAGCAATTCTACGACACTGGCCGTCAGAATTTTCACCATCTTTTTCCATTATCAAAATAACATTGTTGAAATGTCTTGGAGTTTAGCTAGCCGGTCTGTAGTTTGTCAATTAGATGTTCGCCAGCATTAAGTGGCTGTTATCTATTCCCGTTAACACAAGTCCGCCACCACAACACAGTCGATTTTCTGATCCATTTAGAATTTTCTGCAATGGCAATGAAACCTTTCACCATTTGTTACTTATCAAAATAACATTGTCAATATCCCCGGTCGTGGGTGGTTTCTTTTATCATCTAAGCTTAAGTCTCACCTCTCTTTTCCTTTCTTTCCTTTCTCTTTTTCCTTTCTTTTTTTCCTTTTTTTTTTTTTTTTTTCTTTTTGTGCCCCTAAATGGTGTCACAATACACTTAGTTGGTACAAATAAATGCCACAGATGAAGCAGACAATATACCTCAGGATTTTTGTGTAAGAGTTTTCCATCTCCTAGACCAATCGTGTTCTATAACACTAAAGAGCTTGGTCAGCCCTGGTAGACACTATTTTCCCATAGCTGGGACCCTAACAGGTGCTATCACCCTGGGTCAAGGCGGACCTGGGAACAACAGCAATTAAAAGGTGGTTCTACGTTCCTCAAATCCTCCAATCTCCTGATGAGAAGACTTGCTGCCAGATGTAGTTTATCGTCATACCCAGGACATATATATATATAACACATATATATATTAAAAAGAAGTAGTTATACAAAGAATAAATCAGTAAAGTTAATATAATTAATTGCGGATTCACTTTGGTGACAGATTTAATAAAGCATTAACCTACCAACCACTCATTGAATGATGCGATCCTTGTTTTTAAAAATTGGAAAATGGATTTGATGTTCCATATTTTCTGTAGATATTCTAGTACTTTTAATAATTCTTCTTATCATCATCAGGCATGGATGTTATTTTTCCTTTTCATGTAAATACAGGTAACTTCCGAGACAAAAATAAATGTAATACAGGGCAAAAGATTTTTTTTTTATAGTGTCTTATTATTAACAGTTACAAAATTTTGGAGCATGCAGTGTTGCAATGCTAGATTTGTATTTTGAAAATTTTAAGAAATTTAAAACATTCCCATCCTTATATATCCATATAAAAATCTACAAAGTCAATTAAACAAAAAAAAATAATTCTTAATAATAGTTTGACTGAAAGCACTCTGGTTCACAGATAATTTGGCCAATTTTTACATGATCTATATCCAGAAAAGAAATCACTTGAATGAATGCATGAAAAATTCAATTAAAAGTTTAATCACAGTGTCTTGCTAGTCATCTTCAAGGATATATATAAAACTCTTCTTAATATATAAAAATTTATATAAAAAATTATATATCGTTATCCCATATATATATATATATATATATATATATTGTGTATATTTAGGCAGCAATTTTTCATTAATGCACGTTTCATTAAATAATATAGACAAGTTTTGTCTATTTATTTTAAGTAAGTTCCTTTCATATTCTTCCCCCCTCCCCATTAGTGATTTGCAGAAAACCAGCACAGTTTACAAATTCAAGTACCTTTTGGGAGATTGTATCTCCAACGAATTAAATAATATTTATGTTGGTCACACCACAAACTTGCTTTCACAGCGCTTGACTCTACATTTAAATGATAACTCTAACATTTTTAGACATTTAAAACAACATGCCTGCCTACTCAATTCTGGAAAATCCTTGTTGACAACACAACTATAGTTAAACATGAAAACAATAAACAAAAATTAAAATTCTTGAAGCTTTATACATAAAACAGTTGAAACCTAACCTGAACAAAATAAACTATAAAATCTCCACAAATATCCTTAAATGCCTATAATTTATAACAGAAGCCATTGATTTATACCAACGGCTTGCCATACTTAATACTTCTCGTTTTTCACTCTTGCATGGTCATGTGTGACATCATGAGCTACGACACAATTTTTGCTTCCTCGTCTTGTATATACGAGTTTGTCATTACTTGGAAATGTTCATGGAGCAAGGGCAGACTATCATTGTTGTTTCATCCGTTGTTGTTTGATTTATTGAAATTATCATCTTTGATAATGGCTTGTGTAAGCCGAAAGCTTAGATTGGATTTAAACATGTATCAATATGGTGTTTTCCTTTCATCTTTCAATGATGTTATTAAGCTTATCAGACAATATGAAAGGAACTTACTTAAAATAAATAGACAAAACTTGTCTATATTATTTAATGAAACATGCATTAATATATATATATATATATATATATATATAAAATGTATATATTTTGTATATTTGGGCAGCAATCTTTCATTGACTGTAATGGAGAAGGAAAAACTTTTTATTCAGTCTTTCTAGTATTTTTAGAGAATGTAGGAAGTGTTTGAAATCACTACACTCAGTTTCTACACTCTCTTAGTTTTCATTGAAGAAAAACTGTAAGGACAAGAAAAACTGAATAAAAGAATTATAAAATTTTATTTTATTTTTCCATTACATTCAATGAAACACACATGCACATATGAGAACATTAATACATCTAATTAATTTTCTCATACATGCAGATAGATAGATAGATAGATAGATAGATAGATAGATAGATAGATAGATTTAATTTCTTTTTTATTATATTCATGTGTAGAAAGTAAGTGTCTATGATTGATATATCTGAAGTAGGTTTGTGTAAGTAGAAACACATAAAAAGTCATCATTTAAAATGGAGCTCTTCCTTCCACACTTTACAATATAGAGACCCAAATAACAAAAGACAGATTGTTTTAATTTACTTCCAGCAGAATGAATGAACTTTGTGGGGGTGAAGGAAGTATGTTGAGCAGAAATATAGATAAGTAGGTAGCAGGGTGAAGGGATCAGAGAAGAATAAATTTTGGAGGAAATACCATAGCCTAGAAGTGCTTAGCTAAGGAGGTTACGAGCAGAGTTACGACCCTTATTGGCATACTGTCCATTGGCACAATAAATTTTTCTCCTTTTTCTTACTGTTTTTGTAAAAATACCCATATAGAAACAACTTAAGGAAACAAACTTACTGAACTTTTTTTTTATATCAATCTCTTTTTTATTTTTTATTTTTTTTCTTATATATCAAATCCCAAAGTAAAAGGTTACTAAAAAATCATAAAATGCTCAGTTTTGTCCAGGCTGAGATGCACTTATAGCTTTCTGTATAGAACACATTCACACAAATAAAAAACAATATTTTGTATACAAATACTCATACAATATGGTATTGTGGATATAGAACATTAGTAACTGATTGTCAAGTAGACTATTTCTAATATCAAGCAAGTAATGGTAATATCAGCTGTTTCTCTACAAAGAAACATTTTGCATTTATTGAGTAGAAAATACTGCTTTCAGTTGAATTTTATTTCTGAAATTTTGAACATAACAGTTACAATTTAGTAATGAGGAAACATTTATGATGGAAGAGAAAATGAAAGGAGTAATAAAAGTATTATTTTATGCAGCAAAATACCTTTTCCTCTTTCAGCATTGATATGATTTTCTTTCACCTTTTGTAAAAACACACAAAAATTTTATTATTTTGTGGATGAGTGAGAATACTCACTAGAAACTATTAAATTGCAAATTGAACTGGTTATTGCTTTGTTATCTTTGAGCATTTTGATGGTATTGTCTTAATAAAATTCTTGATACAATGTACTGTTTTTGCTGTGTTATGGTAACAAAATCTGTCATCTGGTCATTATAATGTACCTTTCATTAATCATAGTAAAACATGACATAATGATATGTATAGAAATATAGTTTTACAAAACAAGTATAATAAAAAATATACACATATTTTAACAAAATACAAGAAAAAAATAACAAAATAACGAAAAAAAATAACAAAATACTTATTTTATGCAGCAATTGTAATCTATTGATTTGTTTTTCTTCTTTTATTGTTGATATGATTTTAGTTTTGAACTTTTGTAACACACACAAAAAGGAATGCTGTATATACTCACGGATAGGTCACACTTTTTTTACCAAAAATTTCACAAAATATTATGGTTATGACCTATCCACTCAACATAAATTTAAAACAACACTACCTTGTCATCATGATTTTTGAGAAATTGGAAATGATACCCATAAACAAAAAAGCTGTAGATTCAGTTCGGAATGAATTTTAAAACTGTAACTTGATATATAAACACTTTTTTTCTAAATGTACCATAACATTTTCTTCTGTAGTTCTTTCTTTTTTTTTTTTTTGTCAAATTGACTCGATATAAAAATAATATGTGGTAAAAAAATAATATGTTATCATAGCATGGGATATTAATAATATAAGTGATGGAAACAAAAACAAAAACAAAAAGAATCAAAATGGAATTAGCTAGATTATTGACCTAAAACATATATATATAAAAAAAAATATTTTAAATTCCCACTGTCTTTCATTCATGTGCATGAGTGAGTAGTCACATCAATGTAAAAATAAGGACGAAATACGTCACACAAAAACTTTTTCCACTTTGTCATACAGCTTTATCCCATACACACACATATGTACATATACATATATATATATATATATATATATATATATATATATATATATATAAAATATAGTTTTACAGTATGCTATATTTATGAATTAAAGTGCATAATATTAGGAATAGAGCATACATAAATATAAAAGTGGACATTGAAGTCAACACCGGAGATGACAGTCTGTTTCATGCTAAATGCAATTGTCAGGTCATCGATTTCAGGCCTGATGATTGCATTTAATATGAAAAAGTGTGTTGCCTCTGTGTATTGACTTCAATGTCCACTATATATATATATATATATATATATATATATATATATATATAAAAAACTGGTAACCATTCGTTTGTTTGCTATACACAGCCAACATTTCTTTAGAGTCATCAGATTTGGTATGCATATTTATTGAACCCAGAGAAAAGTTTATACATAAACATTAATCCTTATAAAGAAAAGGAAACAGCTCTATTTCTTTTATTACTCTTATGCAGAAATATCTTTTACAGTAACAATTACCATTTGTAACCATTCAGTATAATTTATTTTTTTATTACTAATATTTGAACAAGTAAAATATTTGCATGCTTTGTATTGACTTTGATAGAAAATACTTACTAGCTTACTAGTATTATAGTACAAAGGAATCATTTTACTGTCATTATAACCAGATGTGATCTAAGTCTTGGCCTCTTACACAGCATTAATTGGTACTTTAGTGAGTAGTTACCATACTAACATAGCTGCCCATAACAATTCTATTTATTCTTGACATTTAGAAAAAATTCAAGGTTGATGTCTGTTAATAAAGAGTAAACTTCCACTCCTAATTCTCAAATTTACTAAAATATCTTTGACTCAGAACTTACAAACAGTGTTTCTGTAGAAATTGGTTCTCAGCTGTTGTAGGTAAGATGAAATATTTCAGTGGTTTCAGAGTGTGGCTCCTATCTCTGTACTGTTCTCTGTGGTTCTGGACATACTGCAATCAGAAGATGAGTTAAAAAATTTTCAAGAAAATATTTAAAAGCAATCCTATTTAAATACAGAAACAACATACAAAACTTTTTTTTGTGTTGTTGGTACAGCATTATTCACTTGAGAGAAAAGATAAAATCTTTTTAACTTGATTTCTTTGGGAAAGACATGAATCCATCGCTACTGCCCCATTCCCTAGTAATGAGTTAATTAGCAGGGTAGATTGGACTCTTTAGTCTAGGAAATTGAAAAAGACTTAAAAAAATGTTAAAATTTATTTACTATTGAAAATAAAATTCTTAAAATTTGAAAAACTGAAATTTTATTTTAATATTTTCTTATAAAACTTGAACCCCGAAATTATTATTTCTATTTCAGTATTTTATTTCAATATTGAAATTTTGAATTTTGAAAATGTATTTCATCTGAGGAATATATAAAATGACATTGAAAATAAAATCTTTTTATTCATATATACATATGTGAAAATGCATATCTCTTGTTGGGAGATTTCAAAGTCTATATCTACTAGTTTTGTCTTCATTCCAAAATGTAGACAAAGTCACTTTTAAGTAATTAATGGATATATTTTTTAATTCAACATTATTTTTTATTACTGTAAATATTATTTTTAATGTCTACACATGTTTGAGTAGATATTCCCATCTTTTTCAATTAGTGAGATTTATGTTTGTCAGCCTAGCATTGCAAGAAAATGTATTGCTCAGATGGAATAGACTTTGAGTGGCCTTCACAAGAGATGCACATTTCTTAAAAAAGATTGATTTGATTGGTTCATTTTCTATGACTAATCAACCCTTATTCTTAAAAAAAAAAAGTAATTGTGTCAATCTTTGCCATAGGTGTCACCATGATTGAAACAGTAAAAGCACATTTAGCTGCATAGGTGAATATACAAATATTTATTTATATACATCCTTTAGAATTCTATTGGACTAAGGTGAGATTTAACTTGATGTAACTACACATGCCAGAATTCATTATTTGCGGCCACAATCTTAACAATATAAGATATGCACATGACACAGTGTTGATAGCAGACATGGAAAGGAAACTACAAGAACTCCTACAAAAGGTAGTGAAGGAAAGTGAGAAGAAAGGACTAAACATCAATTGCAAAAAGAGAGTATTCATGGTTGTTAGCAAAAGGGACATCCCATCATGCAAATTACAAATTGGGGATAGCAAAATCAAGTCAGTCCAAAAATTTCAATATCTGGGAAGTGTTCTAACAGAGGATAGAAAATGCGACACTGAAATCCAAAGATGTATTGGGATGGGGAAAGATGCATTCCAAAAACTAAGCAGAATACTAAGAGACAAAAAAATTTTGTTAGAAAAAAGAAAAGAATATTGAACTGTTATATGATATCTGTCTTTGGATGAAGAAGAGACTTGAAGCAACAGAAATGTGGTTCTACAGAAAGATACTGAGGATACCATGGACCGAGCATGTGTGCAACAACAAGGTTTTGGAGAAAATGGAAACAAAAAGAAAACATACTTAACATCAGGAAGAGGCAGTTGGAATAATGAGGAAAGAAGGCTCAGAAAACCTGATACACACAGGACAGATTGAGGGAAAGAGGGACAAAGGAAAACAGCACATAACAGACTTGATGAGCTTGAGTAAATGGAAGTTGGTAGAACAGGGTTTGGGACAGGAAGATGTGGTGGCCTACGATCACCTGCATCCTGAAGGGATACAGAATATAAAAGAAGAACTACATATGTGTATGAGGGAGAGAGGACACTAAAATTTTAAACTTTTAAATTAATTTTTTTTAAAACTTTGATTTTTTTAATGCATTTGTTGCACACTGTAATGAGTCTAACCATAATTTTGATTTTAAAAAATGATACTTTAATTAAAAGAGAAAGCAATTTTCTAAGACAAAAATGTATAGAAAGTGCTTTAATCACTTGACCATATAGAGTAAATTAGTGTGCAGGTTCTTACTACAGTTCACCTTTCTTGGCAGATCTTCTATTATCACAATGTGAGATACTTAATAACAAAAATGATAAAAACATAAGAAAATAGAAAAAGAAACTCACTGAAATTGGCTCGATTATATATACTGAGACACATACCCAGGCAAAAAATTATCCACATTGTCATTAATTTTCCCAACAGATTAACATGTAAATAAATCTCAAGTTGAGTGACAGTTGGGGAATTCTGGGGAATTTTCTGTTTCCTTAAATAAATTTTGCCAAAAACACGAATCATATTTGATATGCATTTGGCAATTTCCAAGTTGAATTTTTGTGATTTCTGATATGAACCATTTTATTCCCATGGAAAAAGAAAGAAAGAATATTTCCATCTATTTATTTCTAAAGTGAACATGTCTTTCAGAAATCCTTTGTTTTTAGTCCAAAACATTTTTTCCATTGTGTCTTCTAGCCTCCTCCTATTTAATCGGTTTAATCTAATCCCTATAGATTAAATCAAAAGCTCAGCTTAAAATTGACACCTGAAGAAGGCAATATATTTCAGCAATGGTGACATCTAGGAATGAGTCACTTCTGCTAGTACAGATTTTTAGGGGCATGCAATGCATGTGAACTCTTGTAGATTACTGGAAAAAAATTCAACTACTGGTGATGACTATGCAAAAAGAAAAAACACCTTCATAGATGAAAACCTGCTCTATTCACTGTTGTAACTATAGTACTGAAGTCCCAGACACATGGCACAAACACCATTGAAATGATGTCACAAATTATGATGGAGTGACTATATTGTGGAATTTCCCAGTCCTCACAGCAGGAAAAGTCATGCAAATAGACCAGGCATAATCATAAAAGATTTCAAAAACGGAACCTGCTAATTAATTGATATTTGCCCACAGGATTCCAATGTTTCTAAAAAGATAGGCACCTTGGGTATGATAAAGAAGGGTATCGAAAATCATGTGAGTAAAATTCCTGGACACATTTGCATATCAGAATTACAAGAGATTATTTTGTGAGGAACTGTGCATATCATCAGCAAAACCGTCTCTATTTAAACAAAACATCCCAAGTGTGCACAGATAACTCTCCTACAGTGGTCCTTTTTACGCATAGATTCTAGAATGGGCTTGGGAATTAGGCACTTAAAATTACTCTCTGGTAAGATGATACCACACACAATAATAATGAGACATTGCTATAATAATACTATTAGTATTAATAATAATAATAATAATAATAATAATCATAATAATAAATGATCAATGGAAAATCTCATGAAGCCATTTCTGACCTTAGGTCTTTGGTTGGGACCTGAAAGAAAATGTGTATAGAATGAAACTCTCAGGAAATGATAATAATATTAATATTCATACTATTAATAATAAGACATTGCTATAACAATAATGATAATCCCATTTTTTCAGGAATTTTTCCTTTTATTCCTGACCATTAGCAATGCTAATCTTCTTGTGCATTTCTACAGTAAAATTATTTGCAATGCATTTCTATTATACATATAATAACTATTCTACCAATAATGTTTGCATTAATTCCTGTTCACTCCCTTTTTTCATGATTTTCAATGTATTTCATACACATTATGTGTTGAAATTTGTTAGAGTAGACTAACAAGGATTCACCAGATAACTGGGCGTAAAAATACATTTCAATAATGGTGACAATAATTGGAATAAAAAGTGGGTTTCTTCCACTGGTGCTGATTTTGATGAATATGGAATGCAGGCCCTTGTTGCTTGATGACTAAAATGCATTATCAATGGTGATGCTTATATGAAAAATAGTGTATCATAACTAAAATCTGCACTATCCAATGGTGTTATTGTGCTTGTAGTATCTGTTGTCGTTTGTCCATGGAAATAAATCTGTTGCTGTTTCCATAGAAATAAACAGAGGCATTGATTTCAGAGCATATCCATGTACAAAAAATCTTGTTTGCAAAATAATAATTTTACCTAAGTAAACTTACCACCAACTCTTAACCAAATATGATTAAGGATTAAGAATGTCATATGGCTTACTTTAATTATCATAGTTTGCTCTTAATTAATCTTGCCTAATTAGTATACTGTTTTTATTATTATGCAATAAAGAGAATTGATCAGGTTCCTATATATCATTAATATCTTAGTTCATTTAGTATTTGGTGTTTGTAGTTCTTGTATAGGATATAAACTCCTATATTTTACGGTCAATAAGTGAAGCACAAGCAAGTAAGAGATGCCTACAAATAAATCTTACTAAATTCAGTACATACAAAAACTTCTTTGACAGTTCTGTACAAACAGAGCTCCAAATTAAATAAGTGGTTTCTGGAACCTGATTGGATAGGACTAGTCACATGATGTGCTTTCTATGATGTCTGCATTGTTGAACTCCAAATGACCTGGAAAAGTCTCAGGACTTGGGTTACCAAGTACATTCCCACACAAAACTTAGATAGTGATTTGGAGTCAAGACTAAGCAATAGAAACAGCTCACAAAAACAGTCAACAACTAGATCTGCGAAAAACAGTCAGCAAACTAGGCCATTCCTCAGTCAACAGTATTGACACACATTATCATGACAGTGCGTCAATGATTTTTCTACACTTAAAAACATACAAAGCCATGATGAAAGAAAGTCTTATCTCTTCTCTCTCTTTGTTCACCATATATAAAATTACTGCTACTGCACACAATCGGTCATCAGAGAGATTTAACCCTGTTACCACCACTACCTCTAGCAAGTGAGAGGCTTGGCAGGGACTAAACTCTTTCCACCACCCATCTGAAGCAGGAGGCTTTGGTTGAGGAAACCTGAGACCATTTCACAAGAGTCATCTAAATTTTCACCAAATCACCATTGAAAATAAAGTCTGCTTGCCCTGTCTAAAAAAAGGAAAGTCAAATTTAGAGATTGGCTTGAAGCAGTGTAAGTGCCTTATACCATTTTGTTGTTTTAAATGTTGAAATGTCTGTATTAATTATTTTTTTATTACCTATTTCATTTAGAATTTTTTTTTTTTTATCTGATATTTTCACCTTTCCTTCTTTCTGCTGTGTATATTGTTCTCTCCATTGCTATTAATTATCAAACTGTTTAGTTCGGACCCTCCCCACAACACATTGTATTTGGTTGAAGTTTTTCTGATGTGGAAAACTGGCTCATGAGTAAACATGTACACTTTTCAAAGAGGGGTTCTTAGGACTTATACCAATACTTATACCATACTTATATAATCTTTCCCCTGCCTTCTTGTCCAGCTGAATCTAATGAACACTCAGAACAACTGTCAATTTCCACCCCGTGTCTGTGATAGGGGTAGTTACATCTTTATTCTAAACTTTTTTCTATACACTCTCTCTCTTTTAAATCAAACAGAATAGGTAACTTCCCTCCTTATGCTCTCAGCCTAATGACTATGCTTCTGATACTAACATGGATGCCTACATCAAGTGCCTTGAGGAGGTATTGCTGCCTTGGGACAAGAAGGTAGCTGTTGGACAATACTATGCCTGGCAACAGATTCTGCACCATACCACACAAACAAGGAGACCCAGTTATGGCTGTCAGACAATATCTGTGACCACATCCCCCCTTACCCTCACCATCTAACCCTCCAGACTGCAATCCCCTTGATTATTATGTGTGGGGTGCAGTTGAGTGAGAGACCAACAAAACTCCTTCTAACATCAAAGATAAATTGAAGGCAAGGATTATGATAGCAGTCACCAACTTAAACTGTCCAGAAGAGTTGCGAGAGATTCTGAAGTCATGGTTGAAGACAATGGCAACTTTATTGAATAAATTTACTCTTTAGTATTTCAAGATATCTTTTTTTATTTTTTATTTTTGTGTGATTCAGATGACAATTTATCCATCGCACCATATATATATATATATATATATATATATATATACACATTACATTTATTATTTATTAGGAAAAATTCAAAACTGATAACTTACTTATTAAAAATAATATATACCAAACTTCCTACCTCCTATTGTGTATTAGTGTTGTGTATTAATATACTTGGCCACTCGGAGAATGTTTCTTCATAAATAAAAAACAAAAAATATCTTACATAGGATATACCACAACCACACTTTCACAGATACTCACTTATCAGACCATCATACCATCAGACAAGACAATAAGGATAAGAATCATAGTACCATTTGACAACGTCTTACAAACAATACCAAAATACTAGCAAAATCAAAGAATAAAAATGGACTTATGATCCTTGAAAGAATTCTCATACAACAAAAACAACCACCCATAAATAAAAAGCAATTATAAATTAAGAGCTGGCATCCTTAAATGTATATAAAAAAGAAAACCTATCACAAATATGTGTTAAACATGGGTATCCATGAGAAATACTTTTTGAAGTAATAAAAATTTATCTATGTATGTATACAATACAAGATAATATTTATTAAAACAAAATTAGCAAAAGGAAAGTTTAAATCAATGGTTTCTATTGTTAGAACTAAATTGCATACACAACAAAATGTTCATGAATATATTTGAGTTTGACTTACTTTGTTGGTGTGTTTTAGTGTGAAGCATTCACAGCCCTTTTAGTTTTATCATGGAAAGTTCATGTCACACAGTTCAATAGAGAAAACCCAGAAGAGAAAGAGTTACTTTAGACTTCACATGTTTTTATATTTGAGAGCTGCTGATACAAGGTTTATTTGCTACTATGTTTAAAGTCACTACACTTATTCATTCAATCCTTGTATTGTTGGTTCTAAATGCTCCTTTGGTATGTCTTTCTCCACATACTATGGCTAACCGCTTACTCTTTAATCTTTGATAGTTGTATTCCAATAGATTTGATATTATCATTCAGTTTATCTTCATATCTAAGAATAGGACTTCCCATGTTACGCATCCCTGCCTAAAGTTGGCCATAAGTAAGAATTTTCAGCAGTCTTTTATTATTTATCCTAACAACATGATCATCCCATTTTAATTGAAACTGCATCAAGAAGTCCTCCTTGCTTTCTATATCACATTTATCAAAAAACTGCTCATTTCAGACATTGTCTTTCCACAGACATTTCCAAGGCATCTTTTGTGAAAAGTATCTAACTGTATAATCAGTGTTCTAGAGTACCCATGATTCAGACTTATGCAAAAATGTTGGGATGTAACTGCACAATAAACTGAAATTTTACTTTTCAAACAGTTCTTTCTTATTTCAGACCCTTGCTCACAGCTTTCCAAAGGCATCACTATCTTTGGCAATCCTATTTCCTCTTTCATCATCTAAAGAAGCGCAAGAATTGATTTTACTTACTAGGTTGTATTATGCCTCTATTTTTTTAGCTGGTATATAACTTCTGCTTTTTTATGTTTATTGTTAAACCAATCTTTTTGCTGCAGAGGAAAACCTGTTTACAACTTTATGAGCTTCCTGGAAAAAGCTAGCTCCTAAAGCCACATCATCTGCAAACAAGAAGCCTAAAACCATTTTCATCTCAGTAAAAGTCTTTGTCTTGAATTGGTTGTTCTAAATCCAAACAAAATGCCATTACTATAAAAACAAATTTAAATTGTCAATATTAACTTAAAAATAAATCTAAATTGTTAATAATTTTGAGGATGTATTTTTAAAATATATCCTCAAAAATATTGACAATTTAAATCTACATAATAAGTGAAATAAGCTTATGTCTAGTTGTACACAGAGAAAAATGTTTCTCCTAAAACATTGTAATCCTGGTTAAATTTCTTTTCAACTTAATTTACTTTAGAGCATGTACTGATTATCTCCCTTTAACCCCACAATGTCCACTGTTTGGGCTAATGAACTGTGTCTCACATTCAAATTTTGAATTTCAAATTTTTCAAATATTTTTTCTTTTTTTTTTTTACCAATGACTCCTAACTACATCCCATCTTCTGCATCCGAACCCCAGCATTGGCTTTGTACTATTTTCACACCATTTTAATTTAGAACAATGTAATAGCATTCCTACCATGATACTCTGCATATTTAAAAAAAATCTTATGCCTGATGAGTTGGGTAACCAAAGAAACTTAAGATGCACATCAAATGTAGGTATATGTATATTTATTAATATATATATTGTGTATTTAGGCAGCAATCCTTCTTTCATGCAAGTTTCATTGAATATGACAGAAAAGATGCTTTGATTAAGTTTTTTATACAGTTTCTTATGTGATCTTATAATTTTTCTTTTTGGTAGATAAATTATCTACAAACTCTAAAATTGTTTTTTTTCTGAGTGCTTTTGGCTATACATTTAGCCATTTTCAAGGTTAAAATATATTAACTTTTAACAAGAAATAGATTGTTGTATGTATGTATTTATATAATGTTTTCATTTTCAAAACACGGTCAAGATATTGTGTCCAGGTTCATAGTTGATATCACTGAGTGTTGTTTTTTTGTTTTTATTAATAAGGAATCTATTATTTTTAGCCTTTTTTTACATGAAAATAAAGGCTAAAAATAATAGAAGCCTTATTAATATTTGTGTTATCAACAAGTATGTTATGAATAGGGTCCAGTAGGTCTCCTTGAGACTTTAAATAAAAACTAATTGAGCTATGGTCAGAAAGATGTAGTGCAAGTATTCTTGTCACACATGTTGTAGTGTGGCCTATATAATTGTTCATGAATTTTGATTGATCAGGAATACAATTCCTTAATGGACATTTAAATTTGTAAATAATATTTGTTCTATTTAATTTTGTTATAAGAGGTGAATTATTATTTTAACCATAAGGTTGGTAGTTTTAAATTTTTTGTAATAAATAATTACTCTGATTTTTTTGCTATTGTCTGCTGGTGTTGTGCATTTTTTTATAATGTTCTTAATTCTAGTTTCATCTTCTTTGTAATTTTCATTCCTCTTATTTTTATAAAAAATATTAATGTTACTATTCATGTTTCTATTGCTGTTGTTGCTATTAGCTAACTTAGACAGAAAAAGTCTAATGTAGAAATCCAACAGGTGATTAGGAAATCCATTATTAATAAGTGTTTGTTTTACGTTATTTAATTCTTTAAAGAAAAATATGTGAGAGGATGAATTGTCATGTGCTCTCTTGAGGAAATTTTTAATAACACCTATTTTATACCCAAGAGGGCATTCACTAGAGAAATTAAATGGCAATAGTCTTTACTAGTTGTTTTTTTATAAGCTGAAGTTGTAAATGTATTATTACTAAAATGAAAATATGTATATATTTTCTGTTTATACATTATCTTTACAGATAAACAGAAAATATATTAAATAATTGTCGGACTTAATCCATTTCATTTATATATATATGTGTGTGTGTGTGTGTGTGTGTGTGTGTGTGTGTGTGTGTGTGTGTGTTATTGATGGAAGAACTGTTATGTAAATACTATTAATTCCTAACAAGATTTCATCTTGCATCTCTGCTTCATCATTGACACTTCCATTGCTGAAGTGGTAAAGGCAACATCCATGAAAGGCAAACTCTTGAAATGTGGAACACAAATTCATGTCTTGTCAGGAACTAATTTGTTTTTTTCTGATTTTCTACCATTTTCTATAGCCATTGAAGAGTGTATTGACATGAAAAAAAAGCTATAACTATTAGATAAATTAAAGCTAGTCATAAAATATCCGTAATAATGAAGTGTGTATCAACTGAGTGTGTTTTGACAAAAAAATGGAGCATAAGAAAATAATAAAAGTATTTAATAATATCTAGACGGAAAAACAAAAATTTTTCTTACCTGATAGAATTTATCAAGTGAATCTTTCTTGCCTCGATTAGTGTTGTTTAATTTGTACTTAGGTTGGTGGAGCCACTGGTCCCATGTATGAGATCTCATACTCATCACAAGGTCAGGGTTATGTGTATAGTATGTAGGAAATCGTCCTCCTTGGCTGTAATTTGATTGTGAAGAATTTAGAACAGATGAGCGATAGTCTTGGAAATATTTTGCTGTAGCATTGCCATAAGTGTCTCCATAATCAAATTTAATGGTGGGGCAATGACCACGATACCTGCAGAAAAATTTCAGGAAATTGAGACATGAAGTTCTAGAATCATATATCAATGTCATTATTTTTAAGTAGTGTTCTCTGTGTTTAAATATTTTACTGATAAATATATTTACTTGTGTTTATTATTTATTTGTACTGATGAGCCAACACAGTATAACCACCTGTCTTATAAGGTATTAGTCCTCTATGTACCTTGTTACTTAATAAGGCATAGATTTTTACCTAATAAGTCATATATTCTTTTGCATAATAAGGTATAGATTATATTATCTAATAAGACAAAGACTGCTACATAAAATGGTATAGACTCTGTTACTTAATAAGGCATAAACTGTTACCTGAAAAGGCAGAACCATCAAGAGAACAGTGAATAAGTTTAAAAAAGAGGGAATAGTACAGAGGAAAACTGACTCAGGGGGTCACAACAGGAAGAGGGATCATCATTTCAAGTTAGAGCTAAAGAGATCAATTAGAAAAGATCCAACTCAATCCATATGATGTTTGGCATGTGAGAAAGGAGTTTCAGCTATGACAGTCCAAAGAGAAGTGAAAAAAGACTTGAAACTGAAATTGTACATGAAACCTATGAAGCATTTTGTTACACCAGGACAGAAAGTTAGAAGGTTAGAGAGAGTGAAAACCATCATGAATAAGTTGGGAAATGATCCTGGAATAATATGGATATATTTGAACTTAGTAAGGTATGTTTAATCATTTCTAAGATACAATGTTTCAAAGCTTAATCTAACAATTGAACAATTTTGCTGTTATACCTGGTATATATATATATATATATATATATATATATATATATATATATATATATATATATATATATATATATATATATAAATAAATAAGTGTGGACACTGATGTCAACATTGAGTGCCAAAAATCTGTTTTATGTGTGAATACAATATTCAGGCCAGAAAAGTGTGTTCAAGCATGAAACAGACAGTTGGTGTTGACATCAGTATTCACACTTCTTATATTTTCATATTTTCTATCCCAGATATTGAGCACTTGTCCCTATAAGTATAGCATAACTTAAAACCATATATATATATATATATATATATATATATATATATATATATATATATTGGGAAAAATGTATGAAAAAGACTAAAAGGACTTCATGAACTAAGTTAGTCTGATGAAGTCCTAAAGGATGCAAACGATCACAATAAAACATTTTCCACTTTGTCATAAATTTTAAAATATATATATATATATATATATATATATATATTAAATAATGCAACTTAATATTCTAAAGTAGTCATTCAAAGAATAAATCAATAAAGTTTAATGCAATTAATGCCAAATTCACTTCACTAACTGATTAAATAAGTCATTAACTCACTGAACGACATGATCTTTGTTTTTATCAATTGTAATGTTTTTCCGTTAACTATATTTATTACATTAACTTTATTGATTTATTCTTTGAATGACTACTTTATAATATTAATTGAGCTGCATTATTTAATAATTTAAAAAAGAATCGATCTACAGTTAAAAAATTTCTGACATTTTCTGGGACATTGCTCTAATTATTGGACCGATAGTCCATGTCACATTAACAAAAAAAACACTTACAATAATAGAAATCTACTACATTACTACAATATTCAAAAATCTAGTGTTGCATTTCTGCACTCTCAAAAATATTCTTAACTGTTAATAATAGCACACTTTTTAAAAAAACATCTTTTGACAAGTATCACATTCATTTTCATCTTGGAATTTTACCTGACATTACCTGAAATTGAGAAAACAATAACATCTATGCCTGAGGATGGTAAATGTTTACTGAAAGTATTTGCAATATGGACTAAACATCTAATCCATTTCACAATTAATAAAAACAAGGATGGTGTCATTCAACAAGTGGTCAGTGAGTTAATGCCTTACTTAATCTGTTAGCAAAGAGAATTCACCATTAATTAACATTGCTCTAATTATTGGACCAATAGCCCATGTCACATTATAAAAAAAATAACATTTATGCCTATGGATGGTAAATGTTTACTAAAAATACTTGCAATATGGACTGAACATCTAATCCATTTCACAATTAATAAAAACAAGGATTGTGTTATTCAGTGAGTGGTCATTGAGTTAATGCCTTATTTATTCTGTTAGCTAAGTGAATTCACCATTAATTACATTAACTTTATTGATTTATTCTTTGAATGACTAATGACTACTTTACAACATTTTCAACTTATTTGTTCCTACTCTGACTTTTGTAGATATAGTACCCACTCATCAGAGGATTTGATAGTAAAATTCAATTTATTTACAGAAATCATATTGTTATATTCATTAATTTTATTATCAAGCCCCCTGATGAGTGGATGCAAACTCTATAAAAATCAGACTAAGAACAGAAGAAAAGTGAATATTTAATTTTATTTGTTACTATTAATTCTCTCTCTTGATATTGAGAACTTTAATTACAAATATTATTCAACTTAAAAGCATTGTTCAAACAAGGTCTGTTGATTAAACTTTTAAATTCTTTTCAATTTTCCGACTGAAAAGTATTATTAATTGACCACACAAGATATTTAGTGAGACCCCACTTAAAGCCAAGAAACAACCTCCAAATCTACATACACCCCTTACATCATCTAGACTATAAAAATCACCCACTTACCAAGTCAATGTAACATGTAATAAACCTTGTTGCCAAGTCTGTAGACATATTATCACTGATAGTATTTTTATGCCATCTAGCATGCACACAGTAATCCACCTTTTCTCATGACTTGTGACAGTTCAAATATAATATATTTACTTTTATATGAAAACCAGCATTGATAATGTTAAATGTGTCCTTTTGGTGACTTCATTTAAATACCAACAAGAAAGCTGAAAGTCCAAAGTTAAAATACATTTTTAAAATAAATTCACACATTCTAAATTTTAAATAGGATTTTAGGCATACTCGCTGAATATAGTTTTTACAAAAAGTTTTTTACAAACCCTCTACAACCTTAATCATGGCAAACAACTATCTCAAAACTACTAGATCTCTTCAGTAATATAACACATATGGGAAAAAAAACTCCCCTAGAAAAAAAAAGTCCCACTTCATTTTTTATTTCTCATCTTCTTGAGAAAGGAAACAGGCATACTACACTATTTACATTATTTGGACTATTGTAATTAACTTTGTCACCATATTTATTACAACATTTTGGCTGTTGTACACTCCGGCCTTCTTCAGGTGGTTGGAATGTTGAACTGAACCCTTTATTTCGCTCAATGGGGTAAACTGTTCTAGTTCTATGTGCCATATTTAATGGATGTCAGTTGTCAGTTATCTCTTGTTAATTCCCCTCTCTCAAAGACACATGGTACAGTGGATAAAGGTGTTATTTAGATCCAGTGACATGACCCAAAGAGTGTGAGTTCAATACCCGGTTAAGGTAGTGGAGAACTTGGAGAGGGGAATTAACAAGGAGATAACTGACATCCATTAAACATGGCATGTGGAACTAAAACAGTCTACCCCAGTGAGCAAAAATAAAGGTTCAGTTCTTACATTCCAACCACCTGAAAAAGGCTGAAATATACAATGGCCAAAATAAATGATAAATATGGCAACAAAGCTGAGGACAATAGTCTAAATAATGTAAATAGTGTACATAATACCTCATCTCAGAAATATAGACAGACACAAGCATGTCTGAAAATTCTGATTTTTAACATCTTTCTCATCATGCTTCCAATTGATTAAAAGGCCGACTAATCTTACTTATTATAAAACGCAGATTGTGTGTGTGTGTGTGTGTCTGTACGTTTATATATTGGATCGGATTTCCTACATTTTTCAACCCATTTCAACAAAACTTCACAGGACAGAGTAAAATTACCTTGCGGTGGTTCTGACAGTGCCAAAAATTGGCAAAACACAATTGTTTTTGCACGAAATCAATTTGAAAACATGATAAAACACAATTCTGTCGCCAGAATGAAAGGGAGACAACTCATATCTAGTTATACTTATTATAAAACCCAGGTTGTGTGTGTGTGTGTGTATTCGTTTATATATGGAATTGGATTTCCTACATTTTTCAACCGATTTCAACAAAACTTCACTTTTTTTTGGCAGGTAGTGTTTCTTATTGTCTTGCACACTTTTTTCTTTATTTTTACATTCAGAATGCTTTAAAAATTCCATTTACAAGACAATTGTTTATAATAAAATTCTATTCAATCGATAGACTCATAACGATTGAAAAAAATGTTTTTGTTTGAGTTTGAGTTTGACCAATTCGTAAAAAAAACAAAAAAAAAAAAAAAATAATTAAGACATGCATGTCCGTCAACCTTAAACAATAATCTTTGTCAATTTTATTTTTCAGTCTTTATGATGGTCGATACTTGATCTATCTCTTACTGTTATATCCCCGGGCAACGCCGGGCTCTACTGCTAGTATACAATAAATATTATTAGTTTTATTATCAATATTATTATTTTTGTTCTTTTATCTCTCAAATTTCTTTCATTGACCTATTATATATATATATATATATATATATATACACATGGTGGTACTTTGACTTGAGCGCCCCAACTGATTTTTGGCCCAGCCAATGCCACAATGAATGCACAGCAACCCATGTCTCACTTGTTTACTTTAAGTGGTTAGCATGCAGTGGAAGCATCAGTGTTGTGCTTGCATTTGCACTTGAAGTTATTTTGTAAAATTTTGTTTTTCCAACTATGGCCCTGAAGAAAGTGAGTACGAAGGTCAGTACTGAGAAGAAGTGGATGATGATTGAATTAAAGAAAAAAATTATCAAAAAACATGACCAAGGTGTGTGTGTAGTTGACTTGCCAAAACAGTACGTGCATAGCATTTATATGATCTGCATCATAGTGAAGCAGAAGGAGTCGATAAAGGCTATAATGCCAGGTGTTAAAATAATTTCTAAACAGTGGACATCTATCCATAAAAATATACAGAAGCCGCTAATGGTGT